TTTCTATATTCCAATCTTGGCTGATAACCAAGATCAGTTTGCCTTCACCTGGGAAGGGAGGCAGTGGACCCTTCAAGTATTGCCCCAAGGCTATCTGCATAGCTCAACCATCTGTCATGGTTCAGTGTCTGGGGACCTAGGCAAGTGGACTATGCCCAGCATGGTTACAATGTTTCATTATATTGATGACATGTTACTAATCTCTGATTCTCTTGAAGATTTAACCCAGGCAGCTCCAATGCTGCTAAGTCATTTGGAACAATGTGGGTGAGCCATGAACACAGCCAAAGTGCAAGGACCTGAGCTATCAGTCAAATTTTGGGGAGTGGTCTGGTTGGGTAAGACGAGAGTCATCCCAGAAGCTATTATAGGCAAGATACAGGCATACCCTCAACCCACAACTGTAGCTCAGCTACAGACATTTGGGACTTCTGGGGTATTGGAGAGCTTTTGTACCCCATATGGCCCAAATGGTGTATGTGCCCACTGTGTGCATTAACAAAAGAAAGGAACTCCTTGGAATTGGACTGAGGAAGTAGAATGGGCTTACCAGGCTACAAAGAGGGCAATACAGCAAGTGTAGGCTTCACAAGTGGCTGATCCCACTAAGCCTTTTGAATTAGACGTACATATAACCTAAGAAGGGTTAGGATGGGGCTTGTGGCAGAGACAAGACCGATTCTGAACACCTATAGGAATATGGTCTCAGCTCTGGGAAGGCACTGAAGTGCGTTATTCTCTAATAAGAGAAACTGCAGCTGTATATTCTGCCCGGATGGCCACTGAACCTACCACAAGAACTGCCAAAGTCTTAGTAAGGATGACATACCCCATACTAAGTTGACTGTGCACATGGGCAAACCACCCCTAAAATGGGTATAGCTCAGACTCCCACCTTGTCTAAATGGGGAGCATATATAGAACAAAGAAGCACTGTGTCAATGAGTCTTCTGTCTAAAGAGTGGCAAACTGCTAGGACTAGTAGAGGTTGTGGAGGAAACTTTGACACAACCCTTACCCATGGAGATGGAGTCTACACCTTTCTGTGAGGGACAGGGACCTATCACAGAACAAGCTTAGTATACAGATGGCTCTAGCATGGGACCCTAAGCATCGTGGACAGCTGTTGCTGTCCAGCCCTTAACAGACATCATGTGTTATGAAAATGGCACAGGGCAAAGCAGTAATGGGCTCAATTGAGAGCAGTATGAATGGTGATTTAAAAATGAGCCTGGGTCATTAACCATCTGTACTGATAGCTGGGCTGTGTATAAAGGTTTAACCCTTTGGATCTCTACTTAGAAATATCAATGGTGGATGGTAGGCCACTGACCCCTGTGGGGACAAGCCATGTGACAAGTTATGGGCATTGGGACATGAGAAAGAAGTAACTCTTTTCCATGTCATAGGACACTTCCCCTTAGCCAGTCCGGGCAATGACGAAGCTGATGCCTTGGCTAAGGTAAGATGCCTGGAGAGAGCCCCAGCCACTGATATAGCCCAATGGTTACATCGACAAATGCAGCATGCTGGCAGCAAAACCATATGGATGGCGGCTCAGAGATGGGCCCTGCCTATAAAATGGGGAGATGTAGTGAATACCTTTTGCGTTTGTCTGGTATGCACTCGAGAGTCCACACCTGGCGGGTGCCACGTACAGATGGGCAAATAACTTGAGGGAGGGTGCCCTTGACTCGATGGCAAGTGGACTTTGGAATTCTCTGACCTTGGCAGTGGTCCGACAAATACATCTTCACAGTTGTTGACACAGCTACTGGCCTTCTGTTTGTATGGCCTTGTAAGGCCCCAGACCAGGTAAGCACTGTGAAGGCACTGAATAGCCTTACAGCCATGTATGGCCGGCCTCTAATCATAGAGTGATAATGGAACCCACTTTACTGGATATGAGGTACAGAAGTGGGCTTCCCAGTTGTCTATTCAGTGGAAGTTACATGTGCCATATCATCCCCAAGCAGCAGGGATGATTGAATGATACAATGGTCTTTTAAAAAGGGACTAAGGCTATCTGCTCAATCCCCATCCCCGAAGGGGTGGACACGGCAGTTATGACCAACAATCAGGATTCTAAATGAGATCCTGCAAAGGCAGACCCTCTCCAGTGGAAGCTCTGTTGCATAGGGCCACTGCACCTATACAGCTGCAAATCACTACTGAAGATAAGCTTTTGAAACCAGGATACGGCAAGAATGGAAATATTCTTTTACTGGTCCCAACTGTTTGCAACAGGGACAGACAGTACAATGGGAATGGCCTTGAAGAATAGAAGCCCCCCATATATGCTGCGTAGGCCTAACAGGGCCTTGGGGGAATGGATTAGAAGACTTGCAAGTTTCACCTTGGGTGACAAGGACCTGGCCTCCCTGAGTAAAGGTAACATGGCCTGGAACAGATAAGCACTCTATTCCAAAGGGCACATTTGTATTATCATTATGGCCAATAGTGAGTTACCCTATACTGTTACATGTAGAACCTACAGATCCAACAGTGTTAGTGGATAATGTATGGTATCATAAACCAGGTAAGATAACCATTCCTGCAACCATCCTTCCTCAGGATGTCAAACTGGCACATATCTTACCAGAGGAGTGAGAACTCCCCCTATTGGTACCAATAACCCTTCTGTCTTTTCTCCCATGGTGTTGTGGCTGCAGGCACCAACATACATTCGTGTGGCCAACAGGTTGGCTTGCTGAATATGCACCGAACTTCCTGTCACTGGCTACAGAACTCCCATGGAAAATCACCCCAATGATGACAACTAACTGGACATGTGCAACTAATAGTTGAAAGGATAGAACTACGGGACAAGCCTTAAGGCATATTGAACAGACAATAGCTTATATGAATGTAAGGGTCATTTATCCTAAGGGAACATTGTGGAAGATTCTGAACGTGTAGATTGTATGGCAAGGGACCCTGAAGGGGTTGGTTGTAGGGAAACTATAGGAAAATGGCCAGGGCCCCTCAGATGTTCAGAATCTTACCGAGCATTTGCTGTAAAAATCCACGTGCACCCAGGTGTTCCTTGGTTATTATCTAATGTAATTGCATAAGGGCACCCAGGTGTCCTGGGTTATGGACCTAAGTATAAAGGACTAACGGCTCTGATACACAGTGCCTCTTGGGACACTCCAGGAGGCCACTAGGGTGGCTGCTCCTTGCTCCGAATAAAGCCTATTAATTTTTTACCCATGGCTCCCAGGATCTTTTCCTATTATGTAGCTCATGGACCTGTGTGTGAAGGGTTTATGACCCAGTCTGTACAACGGGCTTCAGGGGTCTGTGAGCCCTAGTTCTAGCAATACAGCATCTGATAGTCTCAATAAGTATTTATTAAGTACATGATGTAGCTTTGTAGTGACTAGGAGTAATTAGCAAGTGTGTGCTTTATGCCTTGGGAATGGATGCCAGCACGTTAAATAAACTGAAGTTTGGTTTTCTGATGAAGAATACTAGTCTTATGAAATTTAGACCACTTTTAAAGACCAAAAATAAGGCACAGCTTTAATTTGTAAATTATTGAGTGTCTTAAGTATCCCAGGCATTCAGAATAAAGGTGAATGCAATAGCAACAAAATGAGGTTATAATTCAACAGATAATTTATAAGTTTACTAATTATAAATCCTTAGCACACTTACCTAAATCCTTCCTGTTCCAGTCTTAGCTTCATTCTCCCTTATTAATGAAAGTGGCCATCTGTGTAATTCATTTAGCAAACATTTATTGATTACCTATTATGTGCTGGGTCCTGTGCAAGGGATACAAAGATGATTAAGACTTAGTCCTTGCCCTTCTGGAGCTTATAGCATAGAGGAGACAAGTTATTCTGTAAGGAAGAAGTATTCAAAGGCACTGTAGAGGAAAAAAGTATGTTCAGAGTTTTGCTTTGCAAATGGTTTCCTCTTAAAGAACAGGTTCAAGGGCTGAACCCGTGGTGCACTCGGGAGAGTGCGGCGCTGGGAGCGCAGTAGCGCTCCCGCCGCGGGTTCGGATCCTATATAGGGATGACTGGTGCACTCACTGGTTGATCGTGGTGCGGCCGGACAAAAAAAAAAAAAAAACAGGTTCAAATTTTTAGACCAGTGTGTCACACTAGGTATAGAATATTGATATTAATACTTCATAGTAAAATAAAATACTTCTATTGCTTCAGAATGTTTAAATTGGAGGGCCGGCCCAGTGGCGCACTGCTACAGTGCGTGGCTTGGGAGCGCGGTGGCACTCCCGAGGGTTCGGATCCCACATACAGACCGGTTCCCGCTCACTGGCTGAGTGAGGTGCGGGCTCAACACCGAGGGTTGCAATCCCGTTGCTGTTGCCGGTCCCGGTCCGGTACGGGCGCGACACTGAGGGTTGCGATCCGTTGCCGGACACGAAAAAAAGACAAAAAGGAAAAAAAAAAAAAAAGAATGTTTAAATTGGAGAATAGGCACCAGATGGTCAAGATTAGGGTTCTTTGATAAGGCAAGTCATGTGATGATTGGTACCTGAAATTCACCTGGCTGGAATTATGTCATAGGCTGTGTGAGGTGGAGCAGTGGTTCCAACTAGTGTGCACTGGGATCCCCTGGAGGACTTACTAAAACAGATTGCTGGGCCCCACCCCTAGAGTTTCTGATTCAGTGGGTTTTGAGAGGTGTGTTTAACAATTTCCCAGTTGATGCTGATGCTTCTGGTACAAACACCACATTCTGAGAACCACTAAGTTGGAATATAAACTAGGCAGGGATAAAATTTCTTGAGAGAAATGTACTATGTTTTAAGATACTGTAAAGGATCTGTAAAGGCAGGGCAAACCCTTATAATGGCTATTATGTAAAGAATGTGTACTTCCTTCAAATCTATAGCTTTGGAGTAAATCACCAAGGATACTCTGCATTATATTCAAAGTACAATACAAACATGGCATGACTATGTACCTGGCTACTAGTATGTGTACATAGGAAACTTCAGTAAACATCAGCTTAATTGAAACAGGTTTGGACACGTGGCTTTAAGCCTCTCTGTTGAATGGGAGAAATGAACCTGTTTGTGATTTACATAATTTCTAATTTGAAATCATGACAGGCAGGCTTACAACAAAGCTAAAAACTCTTTACCCAAGTCACCATTGAGACAGGATTCTTACTCATAAGTTTTTTTTGCCCACTTTCTTCAACAAACCTGGTGTCCTATGGTGAGCTACCCAGTGTGAGGTATATTTCATACCAACATTGAATGGTTGCTAAGGAGACTCCACTGCCACTCTGGACAAGCTCAAATTTTCCCTCTCCCTTTCTGCTAATAGAAGGGTAACTCATGGTACAGAGTCAAGGGCAAGATGCGGAGGAAGTAGAGGCTATATATATCCAGCCTATAATAGAGATTTGAAGTGGTCACCGGGAGAGTAAGTTCTCTATTCTATCCATCGGCAGCAAAAGTACTTGAGTTCATATAATAAAACTTGAAGTTGTAGGCCTGAAGGGATATTAGCTTCCTAGAACAGTCAATATTATCTGTACTTGCATACGTACAGTGGAACAGCCAAGACAGAGTCAGATCCAAGGGTCTTCTATCACTGACTTCAACGGAGTCAGGAGATTTCCCTAATAAGAAACTCTGCTACTCTGAAGAAAATTAACCTTTATAGTAGCCCCCTATCAGAGGTAAGGATAGTTCTTTCACATGGAGCTCCAAAATTTTGGACTTCTAGAAACAAGTGAAGTTTCCTAAAATGTCCTATTGGTTGTTTCTCTTCCAGTATTGTGCCATTGATTCTTGCATAAAATTCTGGAATGCTGGCTCTTCACGGCTTTCCTCTGTAACTGCAAGGAAAAAAGAAGGGTAATTCTTTTTAAACTCTCTCATTAGACAAGTGGATTAGAGCTCCTGTCACCCATTCATCAAAAACAGTACTTTATTTCTAAGAAAATAAGTACTCATTTCTCCTGATAAGGAAATGGCTCCCAGAAGCATGCTCTATTTCTCATGTTGCCCAAAATGTAATTTTTTTGTAAGTGGGGAGAATACTTCCTTCATAAAGTAGTTGCAGGTTGACACTAATTCCCTTAAAAGGACCACAGGATCAAGATACAAGTATCAACCTCAAACTAAACTCCCGCTAGAGATCTGAATTTCTTTCCCTAACAGCTTACACATGATGGTATCTATATATGCCACTGAAAACTTGAAAGTTCACTTGTGATGGGGGCATACTAAGAGGCCTATCAATTACAGTCTTCCTTCATTTAGAATCAGAATTAGTAAATCACTCATTAAGACTAAAAGGGGGGCTGGCTGATTAGCTCAGCAGAATAGAATATGATGTAGGTCAAGGGTTTGGATACTCTCACTGGCCAGTTGCCAAAAAAAAAAAAAAATGACTAAAAGGGATTTCATTTTAAAAAGAATTTGACTTTGAGACAAAAAGGTAAAAGACTGAATTAAGAGTTTAGCTCTATTTTCTACATATTGTAAGAAAAAAATAAAATTTCTAATATTTGAAAAAGATACCAAATGATGTCAATTTTTTTTTTTCCTTTTTGTCTTTTTTCGTGTCCGGCAATGGATCGCAACCCTCAGTGTCGCGCCCATACCGGACCGGGACCGGCAACGGGATCGCAACCCTCGGTGTTGCGTCCGCACCTCGCTCAGCCAGTGAGCGGGAACCGGTCTGTATGTGGGATCCGAACCCTCAGCGGGAGCGCTGCCACGCTCCCAAGCGGCGCACTGTAGCAGTGCGCCACCAGGCCGGCCCCAACTCCTAGGTCTTTTTAACCGAGAGAAATGAAAACATATGTCCATACAAAGACCTATTTGCAAATGTTTATAGCATCTTTACTCCTAACAGCTAAAATCAACCCAAATGTCAATCCGGAACGGATAAATAAATTGTGGTACATCCACATAATAGAATATTACTCAGCAATAAAAGAACATTCTATTTTTTTTTTTTTTTTTTTTGTTTTTTTTTTTTT